TTTTTTTTTTTGGGTGGCGATCGATGGCTTAATTAAATTAATTTGTTCAATTCATACCGTTTACTATCTCTTTTTTCAAATGTCATTTTGGTTTTATCAACAAATAACTAAATAAATGATGCTTTGAAATTTTTGTACATATTTTACCATTATTATCATCATCTAGCTAATAAATAAATTATGTCTTTTTATATTCACTCTTCATCTTTTCTCAAAACATTTATCTCCATCCTCATTAATGAGAGTTATTGGCAAAAAAAAAATTTAATTATTGTGCAACTTCTCAAAAATGACATCTATTAATATATAATAAGGATTAACATAATTCACTTTTAGAAATTTTTTCCCGTCAATTTCATTAATTACTTGCTAAAAAAAGATATTTACAACAAATTAGGCCCTTATTTATTTTAGAACTGATTGTTGAACCAATATGGAATCAATTATAAGAAACATTTGGAATTCATTTCCCTTTTTTGTAGAGGAATAACAGTTAGTTATCTTAGCAGTAAGCAAACTCAAAATCATATAAATCTCCCTAATCAAAATTAGTATCAATTCTAAGAAATATTTCTCTATTGACGCATTTCCTCTTTTTGTGGAATCTGCCAAAAAAATTGTTTCATTATCATCATCACATCTGATCTAAGAAAACATATAAGAATAAAACCGTCAACATCACAAACAAAAGAATAAAACAATTTTAACACCAATATTATCCAACAAATTGTATATCATGCTTAATATTATTTTAGTAGATATTACCTCATATATTTTATAAAATCAATTCGCAATAACACATATTATAACTTCACTATCAGAAAAATAAATTATCTATATATATAATAAGAAAATGTTAATTCATTTTTAGAAATCATTTCCCGTAAAAAAACATTAATTACCTAGATGGAAATAACATAAATAAAAAATAAATCATTATTGCATAGTTTCCATATAACTTGACATTCAAGTTGTGTTTGTTTTTGTCAATTATTGGTTTATTTTAATTATGTTGACAGTTGTTTTGTAGGAAAAGATTATGTACATAATTATGTGTGTGATTTAAAAATTTTTTAGACATGTTTTACTTACAAAATAATGTAGAAAATTTTTAGGTAACCTTACTTTTTTTAAGAATAATACATAGTATTTTAGATAATCTTACATATATTATATAATATTTTTGGTATTTTTAATATTTTACATATATGATCAATTTTCTTTTTAACAAGGGTAACCGGCTTTCGCAAAAGCACCTTTGGGCGGAAGGTTTCTCAATCCGATTCGATCGGAAGACGCCATGCCAAGGCTCCGACTTTCGGTACCTCTTTTTAGCTATCATCCAAGGCCCTAACTAAAGAATGGGATAATGACAATAAGGGCATATAAAAATGTATAAAAATATTAGTAAATATTATTTAGCTAATCAAGTATAATCGATATTAAAATGATAAACTAACAACTAAATAAATTATCATATTATAAATAGATCCATCTTAGGGTCCCATTTGAGTTTACCAAGTCTTTATGATCTAACGATTCCATCAGTGCCAGTATTTTTGTATAAAAAAGTATTAAAGTATTAGTTATAATATTTATCTAATCAAGTATGATCGATATTAAATAACAAACTAACAGCTCATTTGTAAAACTGCAAATTAGATTATTATATTATAAATAAATCCATCTTAGGGTTCTATTTTAGTTCCAGCAGCACCAGTTCCTTCTGTTATTAGTGTTTTAATTTAGTGTCAAGATCAGTCTTTATCGTGGGTTGACATGTTCTTAAAGAAATCGGTATTTAGTCACGTCTAATTAATTGTTGTTGTTTCGCGTGTAAAAAATTGATGAAGAAGAGTTAGGTCGGTCATTATCGTGCATTGTATGTTCTTAAATAAATCAATTTTTAGTGACGACCAATTATATGTTGTTGTTTCGCGTGTAAGTGATAATAAATGATTGTAAATATTAGTTTTTTGGGACAACGAGTTTTCGAGTTAACAAACTAATAATGTTGTGTACAAAGAGGTTTTTAATAATATATATATATATATATATATATTCATGAGTAATATTTTATTATTTAACAATTTCACTATGAATTATCACTCTTTTATTTATTAATAAACTTCAATTTATAATATTTTTCAAAATGAATAACGTCTGTGCATCGCACGGGGTACATACTAGTTTATTAAAAAAAGAGGGAGCAATAAATAATAAACAAGAGTATTAAAATGTGGGATACATCTCCCAAACTCATGTGCCTTATACATAATTTATATTTAATTTACATATTTAATTTTATTTTTGTCATCACATTAATTTATAATAAATTTTGAATCTTATTTATTTGAATACTATATAAATTATGTCAAATTATAATTATTTCTATTTTATGTATGTAACACGAGTGATTTGAGTATTATGAAAAAATGGATAGAAAATAAATAATTTGAAAAATTAATTATCTATTTTTTAGACTTTATCTATTTACAATTTTTTTAATGAACCAAAGCCTCGTCCACATGTTTTGCAATAAATAATTAATGCGTTGCTATTTGTATTTAGAATTTTATTTAATTATTTTATTTATTTGTCTTATATTCCATAAAATCTGTTTAAAAATAAAAATCCCATAACATCCGATAAGTCAACAAAAGTACGTAAGATCTTTGCTAAAATAAAAAAAGACTTTATTTGTCTTATTCCATAATAACATCGATTTACTCAAAACAAATTCCATAAAATCGGTGAAGTAAAATTGTACGTAAAGTCTATTTATACTAAAAAAGACAGATTCAAAATTCCTTACCTAATTTCTGTTTAAAGCATTTTATTTAATATTTATTTTAATGAAATATTGAATATGATTGCTGGATCTGAGTCAATTTTGAAATCGCATTGTTTGGCATGAGAAGATTATCCGCATTCTATATCTGTCTAAAGCATATTATTTAATATTATTTAATTAATTTATTTAATATTTAATTATTTTATCCATGACATCAGTTTTGTCAAAAAAATTGAACAAACCAACAAAAAAAGGCACGGGATTAATTACCTCCGACTTACAAAAAAATTATGCGTGAACGTAAATATTTAACAATGTTATTTCAAGTTCCTTAAATAATACTATAACTATGCTGTTGAAATATAATCTGTTTTATGGATGACGTAAATATGGTGTTTAAAGTTCCCTAAAACAATTTTTTTAAAAACTACGCTGTTTAAAATTCCTTAAATATTAATATACTTAAAGTATACCATTGATGTAATATATTAAAGTCAAAACAATGTTGGAAGACTATGCTGTTTAAAGTTCCTTAAATATTAATATATTTAAAGTATACTCATGCTGTAATATATTAAAGTCAAAACAATGTTGAAAGGCTTTTGAATTATCTAAATTAGTTAATTTAAATATTTAATCCCATTAAATTTTCAATCCATGGAGTAGTTTTACTAATTCCGTGAGCATGTTATTTTGTTATTGTAATCAATTTATACATTATTTTACTAATAAATTATTTAATATCTATGTACAATGAGATCTTTAATAATATATGATTGTTTCTTTGTCGAATACTATTTTTTATACTACCTCCTATTCTTTTTAAATGTCATTTTGGCATTATCAACTATTAACAAAATAAATGTCGTTTTGGATATATTGTACATATTTTTTTATTATTACCCTCATTTAGTTAATAAATACATTGCGCCTTTTCATATTCACTCTTCATCTTTTCTCAAAACATTTATCTCTATCCTAATTAATGAGGGTTATTATTGGCAAAAAATTATTCTTAATAACTGTGCAACTTCTCAAAACGACATTTATTTTGAATAGGAGAGAGTATAATTTTTCTGCGTATTATAAAACTTTTATTGAATATTGTATTTTATAATATAATATTCCCCAAATAAATATATCTCGTGTCTGGCACAAGTCCCGTACTATATATATTCTGTATATTATTTTATTCATTTATATAATTATAAGACTAGATAAATAATCTTAAAATTATGCACCCCGTGCATCTCACGGGTTTGTAGTAGTAGAAATCAGAAAGAAGTGATCATATAGGATTAGGAATACGAGACCAGTGGACTCCGAAGTAGAAAAAAGTATTACTTTAATGTGTATGTATACTGTGCATTACTGTAAATCCAAGTATAAAAAGACGTTTCGCCCTTCACAGCTTTTCCTTTTCCATTTTTCACTTTTTCTATACCATCAGGAGAAGTTTGTATCCAACAATTTGCAATACATTTAATTCGATTTGGGTGCGCAAGGTAGATATCCATTGATCGGACAATCGATTTCCGGCGCCGGCGCTCGTTCATCGTTGCATTTTCCGATGTTAACCGTCAGGATTTAAATTAATTTGTAAGAACCATAAATCATAAGAATTTATACATTATTGCAGCTGGGTTATGCTCTTTTTTTTTCCTCATCGTCCGATTTAAATATTGATTTAATGGTATTTATTTATTTATTGATTGGGTGAGTTATCTCCGTTGCTTGTCGAGTGATGATTCCTGAAACGTAATGTGGATGATAGAGGAATCAAATTCGACTATCAAGTGATTAATATTTGTTATCAGAAAATATGTAAATCGATAAAAACTCCGTCAACTCCATCGTGCTGGATTTCTGTTTAGTATATCATTGTTTAAATTGATTCTGAAAAATGTAGAATGTTGATGAAATGAAGACATTAAAGCTGATGGTGGAACTGCAGCTGCTTTCTATTTTTCTGGCTCTTCCATTCTGTCATTGTACCATTTTGCCTGGGAATATGCCTCTTTTAGGCTTCAATCTTTTGCAATTAGTGGATTTTTTTGTTGTCCTGTTTCGGTCTTTTGTTCTGGTATTTCTCTAATATGTAGTTTTCGTATTGCAGGTGACCTGCCTTGGTTATGCTGGAAGCTATGAGCTGTGTATTAAGCTTATTTAGACTCTCAGAATTGTTATATTTGGGTTGGGTTTAGATGAAATGGTTACTGCTAATTAGGGATGATGGGTTGTGCTTGGATGGGAAGTTGATGCATTCTATTTGAATGATAGGTAGAATAATTACAGGTTTTGTCGTTGTTGGGGTGGGCCTTACATTAGTAATTTCACATAAGAAAATTAGCAGTGCACACATTCTTACAGCTTTTGAGAGATGGGATTACCTCAAGTTTCGCCTGGAGAAACATCTGAGGAGGCTACTAGACCTCTAAGACCATATTCTTATAATGTGAGTGGCACCCGAACTTGCGATTCAAATGAGATGTGTCAGGGAGCTGCGACCCAAGCATGTGGTTATCCTAGATGTCGTTCATTGGGAGATCTTCAATTGAAATCCTCCCTTGGGTTCTCTGAGTCTCCCGATGCCTTCCAGAAAAATGTTTTGGACGTTACACCGAAAGTTGTCGTGCCAAAAGTATCTTCGGAAGGAAATTTCGGCTCATCAACTCATGAAACCAGGAGGAATGTTCACACTCCAGTCTCTAGGATTGTTGGTTTCAGTTATGATAATGCAAATGTCTTGTCCGACGGATTAGATGGCGGGTTGAGGCATCATTCTCCTTCTTCTTCTTCTTCGGGCAATATCACCCTCGAAAGACCTGAGATCAGTGGATCACTTGTGAAGAAGCGAATGCTGTCGCCTTTGACTAAACTGCTATTACCAGAAAACTTCAATGGTGATGATTCTCTGGATATTGGCAGCATAAATTTTTCGAGTAGTTGTCACTCTGTCAGGGATACAAATGTTGTTTCTTCGGCACCGGATAATAAAAAGCCATACCTAGATTTGAAAAATCACTTGACTATGCCATTCTGGTCCGTAAATTCTCCAGAACCAAATGACAGGTATTATACATACAGCAAAGGAACCTCAGTTCTATTTACGGATGGCCCTGTATTAGAGGACAAGGAACTAAGGTCATTTTCGTATCAACCTTCATCTAGAAGTAGTCCTTATGTTGGATTATGCAAGGTGGGAAATCTATGGCAGGCTAACTCAGTGCCCACTGAAGAACCACTCTCCTCTCCAGTCTCTTTTTCTCCCCTTGGGCCAAAATTTTCTTTAGAACCCATTTATAGGGAGATGAATAGTAAGAAGCAGGAGTTTTTTGAACAGACTGCACGTTCTCTTGATGACAAACTGTTTCCGTCCGAAGAAGAAGAGTCCAGGAATAAAACAGTGTCATTTGAGCACCATACTGGCATTCATACTGGCCAAGCCCAATCTTCACCCTCAGAGACAAAAACTGGAAAAGAATGGTTTTTCTGTCAGCATCATAATGTTAAAACCCTGAGTAAAAAATTGAGGGGATTTCCTCTAAGAAGGTCATTAATTGGATCATTTGAGGAGTCTCTGTTGTCTGGTCGGCTTTCATGCGGACGATTTTGTCAGGTTATTTCTCTTCTCTTTATTTGAACGTTCATGTGTGGATCTGGTTGGATGCAGTTATAGTAACTCTTAACACTTTTTGACATTGATGTGACACTAGTTCTTTGCTATGCATTGTACAGAAAATAGATGGTTTTCTTGCTGTGCTGAGCGTAACTGGAGGCAATTTTTCTCCAAAGTCACAGAAACTTCCGTTTACGGTGACAAGCGTTGACGGTGACAGCTATTTGTTATACTATGCATCTATCGATCTGTCTGGCAATTCGCGATCAAACAAGGTCAGGTCTGAGAGTCAGAGAAAGAATCTTGACAATGGCAGCGGTACAATAAGTGGCAAGGAGAACCGTCTGTGTATTCCTATGAAGGGCCGCATCCAATTGGTACTTCATCTCCTTTGTATTTACTTAAGGATTGGTTTGTCCTACTGAGATATGGCCAGGGGATAATGCAGTTACACTATAAGTTCTGCCAGTTTATTATTTCCTTAGACTGACAGCTAATTGACATCTATAGTTTTGTGCAAGTTGCCTATTCTGTTGTTCGCCATTCAGCAGAACCTTGATATGGATTCTTCCACCGGCTAATATCTCTGTCCTTGCTCAACACCCTTCTATATCTCTCATAGAAGTTTCGGTATTGATTCGATTTCCGAAATGTATGATTTAAATGTGGTTGGGTTTCTGTATTTGTTCCAATATAATTTGATTGCCGATGAATGTGGTTGGGTTGCCTTATTTGTTTCAATATGGAAGATGTGTAACTTATATACCATGAAAGGACTGAGTTGAAATTTATCATCGGCAATGTATACCAGTCTGACAATAGTATCACAGTACAAGTTGGAATTGTATAATATATAGTAGGAGAAGAGGCAAGATTATTCAGTCTTTTTTCAAGCATTACTGAACAATATCAATAGCTAACTACGTGAGTTACCAACAGGTTCTGAGCAATCCCGAGAGGACACCAGTACATACCTATTTCTGTAACTACGATTTAAGTGATATGCCCACTGGAACCAAGGTGAGTCCTTAATTTATCAAATCGAGTGGTTTTCTTGAGATCAATTCCTTTGGCATTGATGATCTTCTTGATCTAATCGCACTAGACAATGGTAAACGTAATATCTTGTTTTTACATCCCTGCTGGTGTATGTTTTCTGGTTCTAGAATCTCTTCCTGCTATCAAAATCAAACCAACAATTTTGCTATGTAGCTGAGTTTATTAGTGAGCGCTCATGTTTTGTTTTTTGAGGCAGACTTTCTTGCGACAAAAGGTGTTTCTATCTTCCTCAGCCTCGGATTCCAAATCCGAAAAGGAAGAACAAAAAATCTTGAATAAGAAAGATGAGGACAAGGCTTCCATACTCTTAGAAGGGAAACACAATGAACCAACAGGACAGATGATGGAAACTTCAGGGTGTGATACGTGTCAGAACAGTCGTGTGGATGCTTTTTCCGAAATGGATAGAAAGTCGGAACACAATTGTTCAAGGGCCAACCGGAGCACGACCAGTGCCGGTGCTCTTCGTTATGCCCTTCATTTACGATTTATTTGTCCTTTTCCTAAAAAGAGTTTGGTGCCGGATGGAACGTCGAAAAGTAGTATAGATATTCAAAAACAGCAAAGGAGATTTTACTTGTATGATGATTTGAGAGTCGTGTTTCCCCAGCGTCAATCAGATGCTGATGAGGGAAAGGTATGTGTTTTTCGCTCTATTAGCTTTTGGGAATTCACGACACGTACAGTTTGTCTTTTGAAATTACACTCGGTAATGTTGCTTGATTTTTGGTTATTGCAGTCGAACGTTGAGCACCACTTTCCTGAAGATCCAAAGTACTTTGATATCAGCAGCTGAAGTGTATTTTTACGCTGTAAAGAGTATAATGTGTTGTTGTTCTAATTAATAGCTACTTGTCGCTCTTTGGTGCTAGTTACAGCCTGTAAATTATGTCTGATACCGAAAAAAATGAGAATTAAGAGGGGGGAAAAAGAAACAGAAAAATCAGTCATGGCTTGTACATTATTTCTGTTGTGGAGAGAAAATGGAAACTTGATTAACTAGGTAGGATTTTGTCATAAGAAATTAAGTAGGTAATCTTAATGTTTTCTTAATTATAAGAATAAAAAATGAAAAGGAAAAAAAAAGACGAAAGATGCATGAATTATTGAAGTTTGATAAGTGGCACGCAGTTTGATCAAGTGGAAGCTGCTATGTAGAGTTACGTAGACGTACATGTGTGTTGTGTGGTCTCTCACTTTATAAAAATTGCCATTTTGGTGTTGGAATTATCTTACTTATCTCATTGACACCTGCATTGGAATATATACCATTTCGACTCATTCTATATTGATTTTCCATCACTCATTTTCTCCTAAACCTCTCTCTCTCTCTCTCTCTCTGTGTGTGTGTGTGTGTGTGTGTGTGTGTGTGTGTGTGTGT